CAAAGAGCTAATAATTACCACCACAGATTTTTCTACCATTTAACCGGGATGGGGGAAGGGGGGTTAAACTAAGATGGGGTTGTTGTTGTTGTTGTTAGCCCACGCGGGTCGGGTTGGGCTCTTCTGTCTCCAGGTCAAGGAACTTAGCAACCTCTACCGGCCGAAGCCACAGGTCTGCTGGGGTGAGTGGGGAGGGGTTTTGGGAGCAGTTGAAAAGGTGACATGTTGTGTGGGGGGCAAGGGAACAGGTTGGGCAAAGGTGGGAGATGGAGCTGTCGAGGCGGGATAGGTAAGTGTTAAGGAGCCGGCTGTAGCCAGACCGGAGTTGGGAGAGCTTACAGCGCGTGGGACGTGGGAGAGATTTTTCAGAGGGGTCAATCTTTGGGGGAGGGATACAAATAACTTTAGACGGAGGGGTTTCGGCTAGGAACTTGGTTACAAGGGAGGTATGGTTGTCTTTTAAAATTGGTTTGTAGTAGTTAAAAATAAAAGTGGAGACTTCGTCTCGGTCGTCCAGAACTAGAGGGTGGTTTGCGTAGACTGAAAAGTCGGTTAAAATTTTCTGGGTGTCTTCTTTGAAGCAGCTTATAATTGAGGGGCGAAGTAGACGGGGAGGAGGGGGATGTGAATGTATAAAATTAATGGGATGGTGGGAACGATAGGTAGAGATAAAAAATTGAGATGACAGAAGGGTACGGTGGTCTTTGACCGTTAGGATTTCAGATTCACTGTGCAGGTGGGCAGTGGAACTCATTAGATTTGATCCAGTAACAACGCGAAGGGATTGGTTTTGGGCAACCTGCAGGCAATTTATGGAGGTGTTACTTGATGCGTGGGACCATGCGGGGGCTGCATAGTCAAGTATGGGGCAAATTAAAGCTTTAAAAGTTAGGAGGAGGGTTTCTTTGGAGTGACCCCAGGTTGATCCTGCTAATGCCTTCAGGATTCCGATCCTGCGTCTGGCCTTTTCAGCGGATTGTTTGCAGTGAGTGGCAAAACAAAGTGTTGGATCAAATGTCACCCCTAAGATTGTTGGATTTTTGTTTAGGGGTAGCGCCTCGTTATTTAAAAGAACACTAGGTGTTTTATTAAATTCTTTGTTATAAGAGGAGAAAAGTGTAACTGATCCTTTAGAGGACGCGAAACTTAGTTTGCGTGAGGTGAAAAAATCGTAGAGCCTTTTTAGGTAGCTATTGATGGAATTTGAGGCGATATCAATATTGGAACTGCTTGCGAAGGGGTGGAAATCGTCTGCATACGAAACAAGGTTTTCATTATCGGGAGGTGGCGGTGCATCATGGACATAAAAATTGAAGAGTGTGGGTGATAAAACAGAACCTTGGGGTACGCCACAGTGGATTATTCGATGGGGGGATGTGTGTTCACGGAATGAGGTGGCAGCTTGTCGACCATTAAGGTAATTACTTAGCCAGCGGACTAGACTTCTTGGGAGGGGAGTGTCATGAACGAGTTCCACAAGTGAGCGATGACACACCATGTCGAAAGCCTTAGATAAGTCAAGTGTGGCCAGTACCGTACGTTTAGGGGGGCGATTTTGGTTAAAACCGTCTGAAATGTAAAATTCGAGAGTGGAGAGAGCTGTGGTGGTGGAGTGAAAAGGGCGGAAGCCGTGTTGGTGTTTGGCGTTGGGGAGATGTTTGGTAAAGATGGGGTGAACGAGTCTCTCCAGAATTTTAACTGCTGGGCAGAGTAAGGATATAGGTCTGTAAGATGTTGATTGTTTAAGATCCTTATTGGGCTTTGGAAGCGGTGCAATTTTTGAATTTTTCCAAATTTGGGGGATAATGTTTTCGGACAAAGAGATATTAAAAAGGTATGTTAAGTATTGAGTAGCAAGTGGGCCGAGATGTTTAAGGTGTATATTACAAAGGCCGTCGGGACCTAGCGCTCGCGATGGTTTGCTGTCTGCAATAGCTTGTTTAGTATTTTCAGGGGTAAAAATTGGGCTGTCTGACAGCGGTAGTTTGGCAATTTTTCTTCTCGTTATACGAAGGAGTTTGTCAGAGGCGTGGGGTCTGGCATTGGTGGATTGTTTGTTAAAAGAGCTGGTAATATCACGAGGTGAGTGTATGGGTTTAGAACCAAAAGTAATGGGGTGTCTTCCTGCCATGGGCTTAGATCCATTTAAGGAGCGTACCACTTTCCAGAACTTTCTGGCACCAGTGCGGTAGTCGCAAGTCCGGAGGAATTCTCGCCATTTATTTTCTTTGTCCTTTGCTGTCTGTTTCATGAGTCTACAGTTCAGTTGGGATATGACTTCTGGGGGGAGATTTTGTTGTCGGCTGAAATCTATTTCGGCGGCAAGGGCAGTGGACTCGGGGGAAAGAGAGGGAGTGAAGTGGCGAATACGGCCAGCGGGGATGTGGTGGCGTGCTGCCCTGAGCACCAGGTCCCTCAAGAATTTCTCTCCGGCGGCAACTCCGGAAGGTGGAACCGCTGAAAAGAAACCCTCCTCAATTTCCTCTGTGAATTTGATCCAATCTGCTTTTAAAAAATTTATAAAAGTCCTTTTAGGTGAAAAATTTATAAAATCATCCAAGGGTAGTTCTAGAAGAATGGGTAGGTGATCTGATCCTAGAGATTTAATTGGGGTCCATGATGTGGAGAGTAAGAACGATTGGGATGCGAGGGAAATATCTGGTGACGAGAGTTGGTTTTCTGAGTTAAAAGGGACTCTGGTTTGTGTGTCATCATTTAATGGTGCAAAGGTGGATTCGGTTATTTCTTTGCTAAGTACAGAGCCGCGTTGATCTTCCTCGATGTTGGAGTTCCATAGTTGTGAATGTGCGTTGGCATCCCCGAGTACTAAGGCGTCCCCAGGTTCAAGTAGTTCGGCAAGGGACGCAGAGTAACCAGGGGGACAGCTCGAGCGAGGGGGGATGTAGAAATTATAAATACGAAGCTTGGATGAACTGGCTACCACTGATATGCCCATAGCCTCTAGTGTTCCATCGTTGTTAATATTTATTTCTTCGTATTGTATCGACTCATGTATGGCTATGAGGAGACCGCCCCCTTCTTTTTCTCGATCTTTTCTAATTAAAGTGTAGTGTGAGCCTAGTGAGGGGTTTCGAGATTTCTTTCTTAATTTAGTTTCTTGGAAGACAGCAATATGAATTTGATTTTGAGATAAGAAAGCAGCAATTTCGGGTGCTTTTCCGGAGATACCGTTGCAATTAAATTGAAGGATTTTTAAAAGGCCTTTGGCGGGGTGTGGTGAACTATTTACATTATTAACAGCAGTATGATTAAAATGGTTGTTTGTACTTGAGTTATTTACACTATTTACACGATTACGATTTGCGCGATTTTGGGAGGAGGAATTTTTATTCGAGGAGGTGGGAAGGGTGGGAGGGCGAGGGGGGTTAGGGAGGTGGGGTTGGGGGCGGTTAGGGAAGTTGAACAAGTTTGGGAGTTGGGGGTGGTCAAGTTAGAGGACCTGGTGCCTGGGGGAGGTAAAATGTAGGTAGAGGTACAGGTAGGGCAATAGTAGTCAGGGTGGTGTTGGTTAAGGTGGGTAAGACCACTACATTTAAGGTGAATGTAACCACAGATGTGGCACCAGACACTGGGCTGGGTGCGTTTGATGCGGAAAGAGCAAGGGGAGCAAAAGTAAGGCCCTGGACCAGGGTTTGGATTAATGCCGGAGCGGAGTAGTAGTATAAGGATGAGCAGACGGAGCAGCCTGGCCGGCTTCAGACGCTCCGTAACCGAAAACCCGGAGACTTCTGAGCTTCTCCCGACCCAATGGGAGGGGGGGCTTGACGCCATTTGCATCTTGGTGGGGCCCAAGATGTCGGATCCACCACTGGAAGGCGGCGTCGTCTGGATCCAACTAAGATGGGGTAAACTGAGGATGGGGGTTAATAAAAGAGGTGATGGAGCTTACGTAAAGTAGAGAAAAAGTAGAAAAAACTTCAATTTATTAATAAACTTGCCCAATTTTTTTCCCGCCCACGGGGGGGGGAGCTTAAATTGGATTATATTGATAAAGAAAAAAACTAAAACTATAAACCATTTTTGATAAAATATAATCGATTATTTTTGTAATTTTATGGATACTGAATCTAAAATGACAATATAATCGATTATTATTATTAGCCATCGAACTCCCGCGCGGGATGTGAACGAAACTCACATCTACAGTAAATAATCGGTTTTAATGGATTTTAAAGTGCTATAAACGTTTTTTTTTTGCATACAATCAATTGTATCAGTATTCATTGGTACAATCTCAAAATCTAATTATTGGTCTCAATTTGACTCAAAAATCAATAAAATTGTCAACACTTTTATCAGCGAAAGTCCATTTTTAATCAAATTATACTCATGAAACTTTTGAGCGGGATGCCGCGCATAAATTTTGGACTTTGAACCGTGGAAAAAACATATGCACGTCTTATATCATCTGAGTTCTAATTTTCCGATCAACAAATTTTGGCAGAGCTACCCGTACCAAGAAATTTTTTTATTTCTGACCTGAAATACATTATATCTAAACTAAAATTCTGGTCAGAAATTCTTTATGAAATTTTTAATAATAGGGGCACTTAGCATTGTGGTAAGGCGTTCAGTTTAGAATCGTCAGATCGTGTAATCGATCCCATGCCATGGCAATGATAGTGTGTGAGGACGAGCTCTCACTTGACTTCTAGCTTCAGGTCTACCACAACCTGACCAAATTTGGCTGCAAAAGTGGTACCACGTGAAAAGTCGCAAAAAGAGCTTCGCTCAAAAAAAATAACAGTCTGGAATGTGGGGAAATAATGATTGTTAAGGACTGTTAAGGCCTACTGATAGCTCCTCTGCGATTCGCAGGAACTACAATTATTATTTTAATTTTTTAACAGAATATCTTTTTATTCGTATTTTTCTCTCAGCAATTCCCGGTAAACTAGTTAAACGGAAGTTTTGTGACTATCTTCTTGTAACTACAATTGTTTTCCAAAACTTCTTAGTTTTGTGTGAAAAAATAGTGGTTGGAACAATGACGATATGAATATTAAAGACATAAGTCTCACATCAAACGAACAGTATGTACAAGCACTCATTTAAAGACAATTTTAATACATGTTTTTTTTCGACTCTTTTTCGACTCCCCTCCCCCCACCTTTCAAACTTTCTATTTTTATACTTGTTTTACGTGTAATTATGGCTAAACACGTGATGTTACTATGCAAGGTACGAAGAACAAAACTGTTCATACTGTTATTTATTCACCATGCCAAACTTCAGTGCATAATGAAAATGCTAAGTTCCTTTTTCAAAATAAAAAATCAAAGGTGGTGGATGGGGGTAGAAAAGAGCCGCTTTTTTCTGAATCCCGTTACCAAAATTATCAAATTTTATAATTTCAGCTTTGTACGTTTAAAGTCAATATTTTCGATTTAAAAGTCACTATTTTAAATTGAAGAATTTTGGAGCGCTCAATTCCTTGGAAATGTGAAAAACTCAAGAAAGGGTATGAAGTCGTTGATATGATAAGGGGGATATGTTTCGTTTAAACAGCCTCAGCAAGATGTTCCTTGGGTGGCGCAGGTTGTTCGACTTGAGTTTCCGCCGGCTGGGGCTTAGCTTCAGGCTGGACAGCACCGCCGCCGCCGGCTGGTTGTTGCGGGACGTCTGCTTGTGGCGCGGGTTGCGCTTGCACCGGCTGCTTACTCAACTCGGTAGCTTTCTGAAGGTAAAAGGACTCACTCAGTAGCGGATTTAGGTGGGGGGCTAGGGGTGTGGGGGGGGGGGGTTGTTTGGCTTTTAGGAACTCAGACGCCGGCCAACTCAACAGGTTCATCCTTTGGTACTATTTTAGCTGACCGTAAATGATTTCCAAAGCGCCAATTTTTACCAATTTAAAGAGAGCGCTTGATGAAAAAACGCAATTTTTATAATCAAAATTTAAAAAAAAAATTGCCTAAAAATCGTTTTTGGCATGTTTGTTTTTAAAAAAAAAAGTCTGAGGCGCACGAACTTTCTCAAAACTTTCTTTCGGGGCAGATCTAAGATTTTTTCGAGGAGTAGGGGGAGGGCAGATGTTTTCAAAAGTTTTGATGATCTTTTTTATTGTCGACTAAATTGATTTTCCGAGCGCTCCCAGAACACCATAAAAAGACCCTATTTCGCGAAACAGTTCTACGCCAAAGCAAAAAATTTTTTAAAACATTTTGGGCACATTTTGGAAGAGTTTGAACACAAGTTCAAGGCGCGCTCTTCCTTTTAAAATAAGTTTATATTGGCGCCATAGACGCCTTTAGAAAATTTTTATTGCCAGTCGGCCGAGACTGGATGTTGTAAAATAGTACCAAAGGGGGACTATTTTATGACATTTATGGGGGGGGGGGGGCGTCTGTTTCACTACGCCTTTGGCCTTTGCGTAGTGAAAGGGTCGAACCCCTGAGAAAGAAAGCGTCTAAATACTCTTTAACATTTTGTGAGAGCTCGGAAAACCAATTTTGAAAATTGAACTTGGTCGGTCGATCTAAAAAAAAATTCGCCTCCTTGTCCTCGCGAAAATCCTGGATCCATGCTAAAAATCATGGATCCATGTCTGGACAAACTCTGAGATTTAGTAGAACTCTGAAGTGAAACCACTTCATTTAAAATCTAAATCTTTTCCATAAATTAAAGGTTTTTGTTTCCAATGAGTTATTAGAAGTTTACTGTGCTGTTGAAAAACTTTTCTCATGGATCAAAAAAAAACTAGCCAGGAAACAAAAGTGGCTTTGCAAGTATTTTAAATGACAACTGTAAAAATAATTCAGCAACCATCTTTCTAATTTCCATAAACTTTATAGCAACCAAAATTTACGGCCGAGCAAACATTAAAGCGGAAAACTCAAAAACACAGTGCGACCCCTTCGGAGCTTCAATTTGTTGTCGCTTTTCGCTGTGTAGTTTTTGATGCCATTAAATATGACATTGTTATTTGGTAGCCAAGTTGTTGGTGAGCGCTACTTTTGAAATGTGTTTTCGCCTAAACACAATTAAAAAAATTTTTACCTTTTGTTCTTCAATTTGGTTCTTGAGTGTCTCCAGTTCTGAAATTAGACCCTCTTTTTCCGAATCTTTATTGCTTAATTGTTGCATCATTTCGTCCAGTTTCTTGTTAAGGTCGTCGATTTTGGCCTGAAACATTAATTTGAACTGATCTATACTCCGCCACCTACCAATGAAGCGAATAATCCATTTTTTGTTCTAAATACTTTTTGTTCCGACCACGGCTGGAAGAAACCATAGCCTGAAGTGTCACTGTTTATCCACCCCATTTTAAGTACTTCAAAGTAAGATTGTTCGAAATTAGATAGTGGTACCATAATTCACCGCTATTGGTCGTCATTTGGATTCTAAACTAAATCGAACAAAAAAGTTTTGCACGAGCTTTCGGTTATCAGACTAAGTTACAACCAGTAGAAGTAAATGAGTGAGCTTCACATATAATTCTTACTCTTTTATAATATTATTTGGGATAGATCTAACTCATTCGTGCAGTTTATCATCTAATTGAAGCCACCACTTAAACAAAAAAAGGATGACCTATCCTATTGGACTTTTTCCTAAAAAAATGTGCTGTTTTTATGGCTAGGAAGCATCCATAAAATTAGCTCCAGCTTAGATGCTATGAAGCCGTTTATAGCCTAAATGAAGCTAAACACAAACTGGAATTTAGTGATTTGCTTGAATGTATAGCCGAAAATCCCTGTTAAAAAATGCAAACAATCAGACAGAACTTTTGGGCTCAAATGACGTCAGAAAAAGCTGAAACACAGTGAATCAATCGTCCAACTTGAAGTTTGACGACAGGACTATAAGTACCCAAAAAAGTCTTAGTCCTAGATACGCAAATGAGGTTTTTTCCTTTTCTCTGGATAATTTTTTCAAAAAAGTTCAAAACGCCTATTTATGGTATATGGTATGTTAATATACAATGTGGGTGTAGATAGTCAAAAATTATGGTGCATGCCCACGGAGCCGCATTCCCGGATAGCCGAAAAAACTAAATACCTCCGGTTTTATTTAAATTAAATCAGAAAATTTTGAGACGCATTTTGATTGGACAAAATGCGCAGCCTGTTATAGCTAACAAAATTCCGAACATTTTCAATTTTTAAGAGATTTGATTGGTTAATACTTTTACTCTCATTGAATTAATTAACAGCAGAAGTCCGACTACTACAGGGATTTAACCCCCTCATTAACCAAAGGGTCCCTCTTTGGTATGTTTTATGATATCCATTTTCGGCCGACAAACCCTAAATTTTTTTAATATATGCTAATTTTAAAGGGGAGCACGCGCTGAAAAACAAAATTTTTTGGTCAAAATTTTTTCAAAAAATCCCAAAAACGGGGGGGGGGGGCATGGTGGGGTAAATATGGGTAGTGAGAGGAAGTTATTGGGTGGGGGAAGGGATTGGGAAGGAAGAATGATCGGACTAAGTGTGTGTGTGTGGGGGGGGGGGGGGGGGGGGGTACCGAAACAAAGGGTAGAGAAAGGGTACTGAAAACAAGGTTTTTAAGTAAGTTTGTAGAATCTCTTTCACCCCTATGGTACCTAGCAACGAATCTCTCCCCCCTCCCCAATTAAGAAATGGGTAAGGGGGCAGAAGGGAGGTAATTGCTAAGTAGACCCAAAATTTCAGCTATCCGGGAACGAACTTATTTTTCGGCTATCCGGAAACGAATTTATTTTTCGGCTATCCGGGAAAAAATTTATTTTTCGGCTATCCGGGTATTCGGCTCCGTGACACGCCACCAAAATTATGTACTCAGATTCTGCAGGAATTTTCAGCCAATGCGAGTTCTGCGTATGAACTCATCTCTCGGTTTGTGGCTTGTTACAAAAACGATTTGTTGTTTTTTGAAACGAACGAGGAAGTTTTTCTTTCATTTTCAGACAACTCCAGATTGCTTTGTTAATAAAGTCAGTAATTGTGGAAAAACCTGTAAAAAAATTTGGCAAATTTGGCAATATTTAAACCCTCAAAACTACAAAAAATCATCGGAGGTGAAATATCTGTTAACATTTGAGCTCAAGAAGTCGGTATCTTCAATGGGGTATAAAAAAAATTTTGTTGGAAATTATTGTTCAGCGCTTATTTAGCAACAAGACTGCTCGTAAATCAGGACAAAGCCCTGAATATTCCGACTGTCCCTTATTTTATATCGAATAGTTTTCGGGGAAAGAGAATACTGAAAACCTATACATTTCGGACAAAATCAAGGTGTAATATTTTGAGTATGTCGACTGTTTTTAGGTTGAAGAATTCGTTTTCAAAAGATTCACTTTAGATATTTGTTCATCATACAAAGTTTCATGGTATTACGGTGAAATATAATATATAGTTCGCTATAAATAAAAGAGACAGTTATTCAACGAGCATTGAACCTGGATTATTTAATTGCATAGTTCAACTAGACTGAGAACGGGCTGCAACAATAGTTTTGGCAGGCAATAGCTATTACGTTTCGCCTGGGGTCTTTTCTGTCCTACGGTCCAAAAAAGGGAAAATTTTAACCAATCAGAATCGATATAAGCATAATGATTGCATCAATATTTAGTGCGTACGTTTGTTTTTTATCTCGATTGTAATTGGCTAATTTACTATATATCTACTTGAAGACCTGTCCATTTAAAAGGTGTTCTAATAATAGACCTCATACACCATAACCCTCATCATATACCTTGGACTCCTCCGCCTCCTTGGCACACTTGGAACTTGCTTCTCTCAAGTTCTTCTCACTCATCTGACATGACTCATACTCCGCGCTCGTCTGCTCCAGCTCCAGCATCTTCACATTCAACCTATGTGAACAAAAGCATGCTCAAACTTAATTAGTTCACACGTCAAATTCAGACTCCTTTAATTCAGTTCACATTAAATTCTGACTCAATTGATTGGTGGAATCCCTCATACGCGAAGGACCGAATGCCGAAAGCAAAAATCAGCCAATCAGATTTCAGTTATCAGATATTTGGAAAGAAAGTTAACCTTTCCAGGCACTGAATTTTGATATTGGCCGAATATAAAAACGGCAGAATTATGCAACATTTTTAAATTGTCACTGACCGACGCCGTATTGGAACGAATTTTATATTTCAAAGGCTTCGCTATGAAATAAGCAAAATATTGCTTCATTTAATTCATTTTAATTGAATGGCAATTTTTTCTTCTTAAAATTGACTTTCGGCTAATTTTGTTTACGGTCTTTCGCCCACGAGTTCTTTAGGTTCACAATTTTCACAATCAGACAGTAAAATCAGTTCAATAATGTTAAATGAAAGCAAGAATCTAGATTAAGTTCAAACAATTGAGTTCACTAAAACAATTATTAAGTTTTTGAGCTCTTTTTATAGTAACCATAATGAATCAATTTTACATCCTCCCCTTCATTTAGACCGATTGTAAAGGTCTTCCAACTGCTTTGGGACAAGAAGGAGGATGTTAACTTGGTTTTCAAATTTTTAAAAAATTTCTATAACAATATTCAAAAATATAATCAATTTTTATGCATTTTCGAAGTATATTATCCATAATTGTTTTCAAATTCATTAAATGATTCAAAATACATCAATAATTTTTTAAGATATACTCACGTGACGAGACTCTGATAGTAACGGTAGGAGACAATTAATAGGAAAACGATCATCATAATCAGACCATATTTGGCCTGGTTTACACTTTGGTGAAATTCTTTTCCCATTATAAAACTGAACAAAAAATAGTCAAATGGTAAAACCAAAAAGACAATCAAAAGAAAAATCTGAAATAATTTTTAATAGAACGCGACACTAGTAGCGCCAGAAGCAAAGACTGCAGCTTGAATTGAGAACTGTTTAAGATGAAAAAGCTGTCTCAAAAGTACAATATGCTTTTATGCATTAGCACAATGTTTAATCACGGTCAAGATATGTATATTTGCGATGTGAAATCTGCTGCAAGCATTCACAGTTTTTTTGAATAGATAGTCATTTTTTAGTTTAAAAAAACGATAGTTTTGAAATTAGCTTTCAATGTTTTTGCTTTCTGTTTGGTTTTGTTTTCAACTTTTTATTTAGGTGAATAAGATTAGTGTGAATAAACTACAGACACATGTCTTTTGAGTAGTTTTTTCACTTCTTAAAATGCCTGTTTTTATTGATAATAGGGAACGTTGAAAAACCGGCAAACAGTAAAAAAAAACCAAAAATGGCACTATGTAATTGTACACGTGGTAAGTGCCTATTGTAGTTCAATCCGGATGGTGTTTACGCATTTTAAAAGCATTACGTGTTTTTTCGGACTGTTTATTGGAAAAACACTCAATTTATATAGATGTGCCTTTTGTCAACCAAAATGATTTTAGACTATGAACAAATACTACAAGCCAATTTTACCTGGCAAAGATTAACCATACTCCCTTTTAAAATAAAATATTTATTCGTCTGCTTTCTTCGAATGACGGAACAGTAGAGTTTTTAAGGGATCTCCTTAGCTATTTCCCCCTTTAGCAAGGGGGGATTCCCGCCTTTTGCAGCGAAAAGGGGGGAATAATTAATTATAGTAGAATCCTTTTTAAGTCTAGATTTTTGATTTAAAAAAAACGTTTCATTTTTGTGTAAAAAAGCAATGCATGGATACTATGGCATCGCCAACTGCAAAATTTATTACTTTTACTCTATATTAACGACATGCCTAAGAAAGTAACGAAAAGCTCAATTTGTCTGTTTGCTGATGATACAACGATTCTTACTACGTGCAGAAACAATTCGATTGATAAAAATTTTCATCAGGACCTTAAATCGGTAGAAAATTGGTGCACAATTAATACACTAACCATCAAAATTGAGTATCCAAATTCGGAATTGAGTATCCAAACTCGGAAGGAGTTCAAAAGAATCTGAAGTTTTTTTGGGGAATCAGAAACTTAATTATCAAGTATCTTGGGGCTGTGGTAGATAATAAGCTCTGTTTTAAGCAACACATAGATCATGTTTGTAAAAAGTTAGCTAAATTTAATGGAATTCTTTATAATGCAAGAAATGTTTTTTCTAGAGCATTTCTTCTTAAGTTTTATCAAGTTTATGCAAAACTTTTAATATCATACGGCATCTTAGTTTATGGATGTGCTTCGACAAATTTAAACAAAATTCTTTTAATGCAAAAGCGAATTCTTAGAAGTATTTACTTTAGGCGCAAATTTGATCACATTACAGAAAAGTTTTCTGAATACAATATTGATACCATTTATGAATTGTTTCTAGATACTGTTTTTAAAGAAATTATTTATCAAATAGTTGTAAATCGCCATTAAAATTTTGGATTTTAATCAATTAAATAACTGTAGGCAAACACGTGCCCGTAGCTTGAGAATGCTACGTTCAAAATCTGTTAGATCTAACTGCTCATTACAATCAGTTAGCGTTAAAGTGCTCAAGTTTTACAATTTTTTTTTCCGCCAAAAATCTTTTTGCAGAGAACTTGAAAGGTATGTCAAAATCTTAATTGAACTCATATGTACAAAACACTAAACGTAATTTTGTCTCAGATAATTTTGAACTCCTTCACCTGATATTTGACAAGTGATCTAATTCCTGCCTTTTCTTTCTCCTCAACTTACTCTGTGAAAGTCTACCTTATGGGACGTCTCCTCGAGGGGCCTTAGGGCCCGTGAGTCGTTCCCTGTGAGTATCTGATGACTGATCCTTGTAAGTTATATGTTCTCGCTAAATAATTCAAACTTCAAATTTAGGGTTGTTTTTGGAATAAAACAACGCCTCTCACTGCAAAATATTGTAACCAGCGAAACAAAAAACAAACACCAGATACTCCAAACTAAAACGATAAACTTATTCCATTCAAACCAGTTTTGGCTCGAAATAAGGTAATTTTATTTCAACAGAAAACTTTTCACATTTGACACTGAAATTTTATGCGATTTTCAAAAAAAAACTTATAAATTTTTGCTAGACACTGTTGGAAGTAATACGAATTTATATAAGTTTTGTACTTGGACAAAGAGCAATTGATAAGAAGTCTGAAATTATTAAAACTTCGTTTGTTTTCACCATATGCTCAGCCTTTAGCGATGGAGTGAATTCTTTCTTGGATAATCAAAGTGAAAAAAAACATGCATTGTGAATTACTCTCAGCCAGAAAGTTGGAATCCTCAGCGGGAAAATTGTACTTAACTCAGCGTTGCACTTTCTTTCAATTTCGTGCAATTCAAAAATTAAATGCATATCGTTAAAAAAGGCATTTCAGACACAAATAGAATGGTTAGTCCCTGAAACCAATTTTTGATTAAATCATAGAGGCTAGATCTGATTATTTTCTCTTGTTCTATGTAATCTTTAAAAAAAAGTTTGGATTGCGACAAGAATTAAAACGTGATCACTCAAACTTTTTGCTGCTAGTTTTTAGGAGAATGACTTTTATTTTTTAAGCACAATTTTGATTTAAAGTTCTGTGCTTTTTGCTTGCAGTTGACATTGTTTAATATGCTCTTTTATTGCTGTTGGTCTCATCAGGGTCTAACTGACTGGCTACTCTGTAAAAACCAACCCGAGAAAACCGAATATATTTCAGGTCATATCCGAGCAGCCTTTACCAACAACAAAATTCATCTGGAAAATGTTTTGCATGTTACCAGACAACGTTATCTTTTTTGAGTATTATCAATTCTTGCTTCCATATTTATTCGATTCTCGACAGAGCAAATCTAGATCAAAACTTTGTTTAAAAACTTGTACACATTTCGAGATTTTTATACGAGTTTTTTTAGTCCATAAATTTGAATCCGTGTCAATTCTGCGTCAGGCTGATTAAGCATGCTTGACTTGCAATTTCATAGTTTTAGTTGGAGATGGTTTGAAGTCATAGGGGTTATTTATTATCAAGGCCGTGTTAAATACGTGCAAGTGCAGTTGATATTGGATTGAAGATGGCTCATAATTATCTAACTATTGTATCAGAAACATTCTTGATAGGTGCCAAAAACAATAACTGCTGCAATTTTTGAAGAAAAGTCTCAAATATTTGTGTTCAGGGTGTTGCTTGTTTTCTCTAAATTTTGATTTTTCAACTCAAAAAATTTGGAGGGATTTGGTTATCAAGCTAAGCGCCATTTATGTGATGAGCTTAAAATAAAAATTTATTTATGTAATACAGTGCTGATTTTAATTATCCGGACAAAGCGAACAGAACTTGAATTTTCAAATAAGTTCTGCTCAAATTGGGTAAGATTAGACAAAAAATGAAGGGAACAAAAAATGCTTAGAATTTCACCAGAATTAATATGGGGCAATTTTTTCTCCGAAATACTAAACCAAAATTTTATCCCAAAAATGGGTGTCTCTTTGGGTTTTGTAATTAATAAAAAATTACGCTGAAACTATACTATTAATTGATGGGATAATTATATCAAAGAAGCCTCTTACACAGCCCAACAAATTTCTAGAAGGTTCAACCTGCAAAAATTTGCGCGATTAGTTAAAACTTGTTTTTAAGCAAATATTTCGGATTTATATAGTAAAAATCACATTCCGCGGGTTGGTTTGTCACCGCCTAAATTGCTACATTTGCCTATATTGCTACGCCAGATGGCGTGGTTCACCCGGGTTGGTTTGTCACCCAAACGGAAAAATGCGTATCGTAGTACTATAGTATTGTGCCATTACTACAACAGGGGAAGGGTTATTACAGCAGGGTCCAATAACGTGGGAAAACTAAAAATACTTATTGGTGTAGTGGCAAAAAAAATTTTTGGCCGATAGTACCGGTCATTATGTTTTTAACAGTAAGAACAGTATTGAAAACTGTTTGAAGATGGTTTTGGGCTAAGGAGAAAGGTAACTTAGTCCTATGGTTTGAATAAATTATAAAAGTGCTACAAAAGAGCAGTTGGTAGAAAATTACCAAGTGTTGTGTATATGTTTTAGCGAGGTTTAACGTGAAGTTTTTAACTGTTCGGTTATTTAAATTTTGCTGGCAACAACTCGGCGTAACAACCAATTTGAAGAAAAATGAAGCAAAAATGCAAAAAAAACGGAACAAATTGCAAACTGTTGGGAAAGATTGAAAAACAAAGAAAAGTGTTTCCAAAAATTCTCAGTCGCGGAAGAGAATGTTTTGGGGTCTGATTTAGGTTATTATAAAAACTGGAATTGATAAATCAGTTCAAAATTTTGAACTAAAATTTTGAGACAAAAAGTTGAAATACATTTGAATTAATATTGAATGCAACAAGATGGTTTAGGCCATCTATCCCGAAAATTTGCAGATCAGTTTTTTCTTCATTTGTGATTGATGTTTTCTTCAACTTGGTGTGTTGCTTTTATTTTGTGTTGTAATTTTTGTAGGCTGCTTGATTAACGACCGAGTATCCTATTTTGCTACTGAAAATGCAAATAATGATTTTAATAGTTCACTTTTTTAGGAAGTCTGTCAAGCTCTATAGCAATGATTTTCTCGTACGGACTTTGCATGTCAAAGTACAATTTACTTAGGTGATAGTGCAGCTTGTACTATGAAAATCTAGTTTCGCTCTGAAAAAATGTCTGTAATCTTCTTGCACAATAAAAAAGGTACACCATAAAAAAAAAACAAATGAATTTTTGTAAGATATGAAACAGTGTTTTTTATTCTTAGGATCAGTCGTCAAATACTTCCGAACAAATGTAAATTTACCATGAGTGTATTTACTTTTCTACGAAAACAAAATTTTAAGTGAGAATTTGAAACAATCCCTCATTTTTTATATCAACCAAAGATGCAATAGTCAGTTGGCAGTATCAAAAATGTTTCCAGATATACTGTTCTAGAAAAGATCCTTTATATATCAATTTTGATTTGATTTTTGAAAATTGCGTAATATGATACTTTTAACGCTCGGAAAACTTTGTCCTAGTTAACTGTAAGCAGCGAATTAAATTAGTCCGAAGTCAGCAGAGCCAGCTATTTGTTTTATAAAAACCTACCATACGATAACAGACCAAAAGTGAAATACTGAAAAAATGATTTGCATTTTCAGTAAAAAAAATAAGATACTCGGTCGTTAATCAAGCAGTATAGAAAATTTACAACACAAATTTAAAAGAACACACCAATTTGAAAAAAAAACAATCACAAAAAAGAAAAAACTGAAAAATCTGCAAATCTTTGGGATAGATGACCTGAACCATCTTGTTGTATTCCATATTTATTCAAATGTATTCCAACTTTTTGTCTCAAAATTTCAATTCAAAAATTTAAACTGAATTTCCAACCCCGGTTTTTATAATAATCTAAACCGAACCTCAAATTATTCTATTC